TGACACTGCACAGACCTGATAGTTTTTATGGTAATATCAGTACATATAATTACCTAATTTGCATAATTAATTAATTTTCAGCTTTTGATATAAGTTGTGAGCATTACATTTCAATGAAACTTGGTACTTACATACTCAAGGACTATGCAGAGATTGATTGTTTCGGATAAATATTTGTGCATATTAATCACCTAATTTGCATAATTAACCAATTTCCAACTTTCACACTGATATCTCAGGTACTAATCATCACATATTCAATGAATGTTTATACATGGATGCTGTAGGACAATAGACAGACCTGGATAATTGTGGGTTAAAATCTGTACATATTAATTACCCAATTTGCATAATTAACCAATTTTAAGCTTTCACACTGATATCTAAAGTACTAATTTCCATTTTAATGAAACTTAGTACAAAGATGCTCTAGGACAATGTACAAACCTAATTAGTTTGGGGTAAAACTCTGTTCATATTATTTCCCTAATTAGCATAATAATTCAAAATTTTTTGGTTCTAATCACATTTCAATTAAACTTGGTACATAGAGTTTTTGTTACATTGCGCAGACCTCATTAGTTTTACAATCAAATCTGTTCATGTTAATTTTCAGCCAAGTAATTTCAAATTATATTTAATGTGTCTCCAATACTTTCAGCACATGGGAGTTCTTTCTAAGCTTTCTTTGATTTTATTTAAAATTAGTCGATTTCATCCACAATTGGACTCCAAACTGGGAGTGCTGGATATGTGTTAATCGATCATCGTTTTTTGGTACCATTAAAAAAGTTAGACTTTGTCTATGGAGGTATCCAGGGCTGTGGTGGGGGACATATATCAACCGAACGTGTTCTTGTACACACAGCACTGTATGCAGGGCTACTGCAGGACCTTGTTCACTGCCATTGTATTTAAATATACATGTATGTGTTCCTGTTAATAAAACATTGGGCAGTGTTATTACATCAGCTTGTATTCCTGTGTTGATCAGTGAGTGATACATGTTATCAGGCATTCACATCCTGGTTGGCAAAAATGTAAACATTTGACGTCACATTGAACTGGTCAATAGAGTTTCCTTTCAGATAATTGAACCTTAGAAATCCTGATTTATAGTGAGTATAAAAACAGAGAAAGCAACAGATCTATACACCTGCTACCAGAATCAATATCTGTAGTATTGTAGAACATATGCTTGCTGTAATTGTATCCTTACTTTTCTCTTTTGTCTTTTTTTTTTTCAGTTTTACGATCTTGAAGAGTTGTTTCGTACGGGTGGACATGTTCCAGATACTAATTATATATTTATGGTATGTTGATGTTCATTTGTTTTAAAGTAGAAAAAAAAATGATTACCTGAATATGTCAGTCATCTATGTTGTATTGTTATGATAATGAA